ATAAGGGGATGTACTGTAAGATATTTTTGCTGCTGTCTGGGAAGGGAAAGAGTACAGTGGCGTAGCTAGGTGCGAAAGGCCCGGCCCAGTGCAAGATAAATGGCCGGACCCTTAGATGTGATAGGGGAATTCCCTGAAGTTCTAAAAAATTCATCGTATGAAGTGATTCTTTTACCCTCTCCCTCCCCGGCCCCTCTATTTCGAATTCTCTAACCTGCAACTAGGCTATAGTAATAAATACTAATGATAATCGGATTCGTAACTACTTTAGGTCATATTCGGTATCAGCAGCTGATTTAAACTAATCAAGAAAATTGGTGCACACAAAATTTAACAATTGCAGTGGCACGGGTCAGGGCATTCGAATTAGAGGTTCCATGGAGGAATTTTCACAGGCGGAGGGTGAAGACCACCTCAGCCTCACTATGGTTGGGGCTGAAGTAACAAAACTTATGATTATAAAACTCTAGATCATGGCCGGGATTGGCACTCTCAGACATAATATAGGCCTAATTTAAAATAATTCTTTTTATTCCCATTTCTCTTGTAATTTTGAACAGAATTATGGGGTGCGACAGGGTCGGCTGGGGGACCCTTGAAATAAACATAATCAATAATTACTCCTCTGAAAGTCGAATATTATTGAGTGCTCCGCTGGCCGTTTTATTCTTCAGTATATAAAGTTGGAAATTACTTGAAATAATTATTTTTAGGTCTATTTATGAATGGCCCCTAACAGACCCGAGCCCCAATGCTGTGCACTGGCTGCACTGCCCGTAGCTACGCCACTGAAAGCGTCCCTTTCGCTACCCCTGGATGGCGCCAGTGGGCAAGATGTCCCCGGAGCTGCTTAGCAACTTAGTAGCGAATTAGTGTTGCTTTATACTTTTGGGTTTTAGCTACTTCATTTTGCTATATTGTGCCAGTGTTACCAAACCACTTATTCATACTAAATATATGTAGTAAATGACCTGCTACAAATACTGGTGTTAGTTTAGATAACGCCTTTTAAGCTGTTTTTCAAAAATTAAAAGAAAATAAATTTGGTAAAATGATTTTATTATCAGTGTAAACTTTAATATAAATAAATAAATAAATAAATAAAAGGTACAATACATTATAATAATACAACTCGTAAAGTACGATATTGTAAACATAGGCCAATTATTTTTTGTTTTAACTTTTTTTTACTTTTTTACCTTTTTGAACCCGGCTTAATTGCCTGTTTGACCTTGTTCGTATATCATGTTAAATACAATTAAGTTTATCAAATGACATTTTAGCCTATATTACTATTATTATCTTGATACACAAAATGTGGAGTGATGGTAAAAGAAATTACAAATAACGAATCTTCAGATGATTTTTTTTTCATTTTAGTGAATATTGCATTGTAAGGTTGTTTTTTTTTCCACATAATTCTGTGTTTTTTGTTTCTTATTTACTTTGATGTATATTGTCGTGTTGCATGGTGTAAACAACAACATAATAACTGTTAGTATATATGAAAACGTTGCAATTTACTAGTGTTGATACAACTTACATGAAGACTTGTACTGTAACCATACACAATATTTAGAGGCCAATCATTTTAAGTTTTAATTTTTGTCATCGCCTGTGATCAGTGCCACCGGACTCAAAAAGACCACCATTTTCTCTTTGAAACCACCCGGGTTTTGTAATTATTTCTGGCTACACTCATATTGCCACTCATGGCAGGAGTGAAGTTGAGCCGCGTCCACATGCGTGCGAGTCCCAAATGTGAACAATTGCCACATGTATTTTTCTCAGTAGGCCTACACCGAAATTGTAAATACTGATTTCGTAAAAACATATGCTTACAAGCTGTGAATTCTGACGACAAATTTACTTCAATATTTTCACGTGCTAAAGCTTTTATTGGTCAAATAATAGCTTTCTTCTAACTTTTATTCAGTTTCCTGTGGCTACGATTACAGTGGCCTATATGCACATACAGAAAGGATACAATAAATAATTACAACATGTTAAGAAGAGATAATTAGGTAAAGAAATTATGGCTGATCAGAGGCGTACCTAGGAGTGCAGGAGCGCACCATCCCTAAAAAGCTAGCTTTCCCCTCCCTCAATGAATATGCCTAGGCCTATCATGTCGAGGAAAAAAAAATCAAGTACTGTAGATAAAAATCATCTCATAGCACCTTATTTTGGGACCTACCACCCCCTCACTTAATCATCGCCTCTCCCCTCCCAAAAAACAAATCACTGTCAAGTCGTTATTAAAGAGCACTTAAAATCACCTTTTTTGCGAGTTTGCGCCCCCTCAACTGATTATCGACCCACTTCACCTTCGCGCCCCCATCAGCCCCCAGATACGCCACTGCGAAGAAAGTCACTTCAAATTAGATATTATGTCCGTCCTTGAATCAATGAACCCTAATAAACTAAATAAACTGAACATTTTATAGGAATATTTGAGGCCTATCTAGACCTATTTCAAAATTTTAAACCAGTTTAATATTTAATCATTAATTTACTGTATTTTATTTTAAACAATAAAGAGAGAAATACTGCAGTGTCTAGTTTATTTTTATATTTTATTTTTTTTAAGTATATTCTTATTCCAAAATAGAAAGAAATAGCATGTGCTTTTACAATTAAAAAACAACACATTTATAATAATAATAGTTATTAATATAGTATAACCACAAGCATATATTATGTGTGTATCTTTATGGAATTTATTTGGTATATCTCTCTTTATGCGGACAATTCATTACAAGCATAATATTTTATCATGAGAAATAACCGTCAACTATATCACCCCCACCCCCGCATTTTAAGACCTCTAGATACGCTACTGTGTCAGAAAGACGATGGCCGACAAATTTCATCTTTAAGGGAAGAAGGAAACCGCCTCAAACCAAAAAAAAAAAAAAAGAAGACAAATCACTTCTGATAATTCAACAAATGTCAGCACTTGCACTTATAAAACACCATTGTTCCCATCAAATTTACACTATTCCTCTAATCTACGCCTCCCTGGGGAGTGGAGGCGTCCCTTTCGCCCAGTGGTGTAACAAAGAGGCCGCATAGTAAGCCTCTGTCTAAGACTTTTCAGGACAATTACCCTGGTTATGGGTCAGAGTGGAGCTACGGGGCACGGGCCAACTCCCGTTTCGGCGTTCAAGTCTGTATTTTGTGATGATTTTTTTAACATGTTCTGCTCATTAAAAGGCCCTGCTTATCAGAATTAGAGCAATAAAATAAAAAATGTTGATATATCTGGGACCCCTCACGCACTGCTTCGCCACTCGTGGATTTGCAAGTGGGCCTCCACAATTTGTTCATTTCTTTGATTCATTTTATTATATCTAATAAAATGTATACATACATAAAAGATATGTACATTAAATAATTATATGTAGATAAATAATGTACTAACTGCTTTCTTTAAATTGTTTTTTTTTTAAATATTCTTAGCTACTTCAAAAATAAGTACCAATGGCATAATGAAGATCTTTAAAAGGGAAGGAAACCGTCTTAAAAAAGAAAAATCACTCCCTGTAGTTCAACAAAAATGTTAGCACTTTACACTTAAAAAATCTTTTATTGTTCCACATCCAATCAGCTACGTACAACTATTCCTCTAATCTATACGCCGGTAAAAGATTGTTGCTGCCACCCCGGATGGTGCCAATGGACAGGATGTGTCCTCGCAGCTGCCCAGCACCTTAGTCACGAATTAGTGTTGCTTCTTTCATGTTTTTGGTACTCTATTTTGCTATATTGTGTCGTGTTTTTACCAAACCAGTTCTGTGTACAAAAGAACCTGCCTACAAAGGTGTTGGTTTAGACAACGAATTTCAAGCTGTAAGTTTCAATAATTGAATGAAAATAAATCGCTAGAATAATTTTATTGTCAGTGTGGACAAAGATATATAATAAAATAAATACAATACATTTTAATAATACACGGCGTAAAGTACGATATTATCAATCACATTAGATTTTTAGTATATTTTTCGTCAGGTACTGCAATAAAAGTAATTTAAAAGTATACAAAAACATTAGATACTGTATAAGCATAAAGGAAGTATTCTTATTAATATAAGCATGGGTAGAATTCCTACAAACTAGACCAGTATTATTATTTTCTAGCAAGATTGACATTGTTGTAGATCTTAGAAGTTTGTTTGAGTTTGTGTTTAGCTTTTACTGTAATTGAACTTTGCCGTCGCTGTGTACATTCTACTGATTTTTCATTTACCATGATCATGTTCGGAATTCAATATAGTGTGGTGGAACGAAGACTGATTTTGTGATTAGAATCAATTTCAGGTCTCTAACTGTCAGGTACATACTTTAAAAGTATAACTGTAACTAAATAACTAATAAATTACTAATTATGGATTATAAAGTTGACATTGTGAAATTGTGATGGTACGTTTCGGTACGCCATTATACTACATACAGAAAAAAGCAAGACTTGGATTGGATTGGATTTATTCGGTGTAAACACCAAGGATAGCCCACGAAAGTCTAGAAGAAGACTTATTTCCGGTGGGGTCCTTCTGGTGGTGATTGGGCAGTACACCGGGAGACAATCCCCTACTCTTTTCCGAAGAGTGTACTGCGTTCTTTAACGTGCACATGGGTCATAATGCAATGGGACCAACAGCTTAAACGTCTCATCCGAAAGACGGTGCGCTATTGTAACTTGTATTTCAGCCCTCTAGCTGAAACACAAGGAGAGGCAGCGATGGGAATTGAACCGGGGTCCTAGAGATCTCCACGATTCAGCGCACACACAGCGGCTCCACCAGATTAGTCGACTGAGCTAGCTGCTCTAACACTAATGTGTAACATAAGGTACCGTAATATTAAAACATTTTATGGTTTTGTAGTTTTATAGACAGCTTGCTAAGACCTTTCGAATTGTAGCAGCGGAAGGCTCCTTTAACAACAAATTCGTATGAAATTGGCAGTGCCAAACCAGTGGAGAAAATCTATTTAAACTGTTTGTGAAGGTAAGCTAACCGTGATATCGACAGGTTTTAAATGTAAATAATGCCAGTGACTACTGCGACCGCTGGCGATGAGCATCGATTTGTTGCTTGATGTAATTGGGATTGGATGTTGTCGCTTATAAATGTTTTTGTCTTCTTTTTGACTTTTGAAATAACAATTAATTTCTAACTGAAATTTTTGTGGCAAGATTTGTGTTTAAAGTACTGAAAATACGGCATTCCTTTCCGAAACGTACACAAATACGCAACATGAATGAATCATATTATGACGACATATACGATGATATATTTTTTATCATCAACCACAGCCCTGTGTCTGAATTTTGTATGATAATGACTCTAGTGATTGGTGTTATCACGATTATTGAGAATGCAGTAACTGTTTTGATGTTATGTTGCGTCCAGCAACTAAGAAAAAGACAACATGTGTTGATTGGAAATCTCGCTGTTGTGGACTTTCTTGTTGGTATAGTGACAATCCAGATTTTGATCTCAAACTTTCGAATACCATACATACTACATTACTTTTCAAGTCTCAAGGTGACGAGCAGTGCCATGTTCTCTCTAATTTGGATTTTTGCTGTGAGTCTAGAACGTTTCCTAGCTATAGTCGTCGCTCCTGTACGTTATCGGTACATTTGTAATAAATGCAGATTAATAACTGCGTGTTTGTTGCTCTGGATAATTTCAATCATTTTCATATTCTTCATTTTAGTAATGATGACTATAGGAATATTTGACCAAAACTATTTAAAAGTTGTGTATTTGATATATTTTTCAATGACTTGCATTATTGGTATTATATATGTCATCATCTTTATTTCTGTAAAACTTCAAAGTAATCGATTAGAGACGGGCTGTGTCTCCGGAGCTGCTCGGCAAGCCCGATTGAAGTCGCTTTTCTTTACGTTTGCTATTTTATTTGGACTGCTTTGCTTGTGTTTACTACCAAATCAAATATTCATGATGTTTATAATTAATAACAAATCAACAAATGATGGTTTTAGTTTTCATAACACATTACTAGCTGTATTTTACGATATCAGTCACGTGTTACTTCCACTAAATTCAGCGTTAAACCCGTTTGTGTATTGGTGGCGTATTCCAGAATTTCGACAGGGATATACGCGCATTTTAATGCCATGTAAATCCAAGTGCTGCTCAGCAAGAGGAGCTGAACATAGTGATTCTGCAGTGGTTTCGACGACTACCACTTTGTGAATAATGTAATATACTATCTATGACTGTAACAAAAAGGTGGAGCCTCTGGCTACGATTTTTTTAGGACATACACTTAAGAAATTGTATGTCTGACNNGGGAATGTCGAATATTTATATTATTTTGGTGGTTTTTTTTTACACATATTTGTACTAGTAGGCCTACTGTAGAATTTTTTCTTGATTAAATTTACTTTCCAGTTTAATATTTAATTATTTAGTTTACTGTATTTTATTTCAAACAATCGTCCATGTGCCTTCTTACCACCAGGAGAAAATTTATAACATTGTTATAAATCCGCACAAACAGAGAAATACTGTCTAGTTTATTTTTATATTTTATTTTTAGGTATATTCTTATTCTAAAATAGAAAGAGATAGCTTGTGCTTTTACAATTAAAAAACAACACATTTATGATAATAATAGTTATTTATATAGTATAACCACTGTCTCTTATACACATCTAGATGTGTATAAGAGACAGTAGTAAGTGCTTGTTTCGTATTTTTTATATAGCTACTTCAAAAGTTAGTACCAAATTGGAATAATGGGATGTACTGTAAGATATTTTTGCTGCTGTCTGGGAAGGGAAAGAGTACAGTGGCGTAGCTAGGTGCGAAAGGCCCGGCCCAGTGCAAGATAAATGGCCGGACCCTTAGATGTGATAGGGGAATTCCCTGAAGTTCTCAGAAAATTCATCGTATGAAGTGATTTTTTTACCCTCTCCCTCCCCGGCCCCTCTATTTCGAATTCTCTAAACTGCAACTAGGCTATAGTAATAAATACTAATGATAATCGGATTCGTAACTACTCTTTAGGTCATATTCGGTATCAGCAGCTGATTTAAACTAATCAAGAAAATTAGTGCACACAAAATTTAACAATTGCAGTGGCACGGGTCAGGGCATTCGAATTAGAGGTTCCATGGAGGAATTTTCACAGGCGGAGGGTGAAGACCACCTCAGCCTCACTATGGTTGGGGCTGAAGTAACAAAACTTATGATTATAGAACTCTAGATCATGGCCGGGAATGGCACTCTCAGACATAATATAGGCCTAATTTAAAATAATTCTTTTTGTTCCCATTTCTCTTGTAATTTTGAACAGAATTATGGGGTGCGACAGGGTCGGTTGGGGCACCCTTGAATACCCCTAAATAAACATAATCAATAATTACTCCTCTGAAAGTCGAATATTATTGAGTGCTCCGCTGGCCGTTTTATTCTTCAGTATATAAAGTTGGAAATTACTTGAAATAATTATTTTTAGGTCTATTTATGAATGGCCCCTAACAGACCCGAGCCCCAATGCTGTGCACTTGCTGCACTGCCCGTAGCTACGCCGCTGAAAGCGTCCCTTTCGCTACCCCTGGATGGCGCCAGTGGGCAAGATGTCCCCGGAGCTGCTTAGCAACTTAGTAGCGAATTAGTGTTGCTTTATACTTTTGGGTTTTTGCTACTTCATTTTGCTATATTGTGCCAGTGTTACCAAACCACTTATTCATACTAAATATATGTAGTAAATGACCTGCTACAAATATTGGTGTTAGTTTAGATAACGCCTTTTAAGCTGTTTTTCAAAAATTAAAAGAAAATAAATTTGGTAAAATGATTTTATTATCAGTATGAATTTTAATATAAATAAATAAATAAATAAAAGGTACAATACATTATAATAATACAACTCGTAAAGTACGATATTGTAAATATAGGCCTATTTATTTTTTGTTTTAACTTTTTTTTTTACTTTTTTACCTTTTTGAACCCGGCTTAATTGCCTGTTTGACCTTGTTCGTATATCATGTTAAATACAATTTATCAAATGACATTTTAGCCTATATTACTATTATTATCTCGATACACAAAATGTGGAGTGATGGTAAAAAAAATTACAAATCTTCAGATGATTTTTTTTTTTCATTTCACTCAATATTGCATTGTAAGGTTGTTTTTTTTTTTCCACATAATTTTGTGATTTTTGTTTCTTATTTACTTTGATGTATATTGTCGTGTTGCATGGTGTAAACAACAACATATTAAATCTGTTAGTATATATGAAAACGTTGCAATTTACTAGTGTTGATACAACTTACATGAAGACTTGTACTGTAACCATACACAATATTTAGAGGCCAATCATTTTAAGTTTTAATTTTTGTCATCGTCTGTGATCAGTGCCACCGGACTCAAAAAGACCACCATTTTCTCTCTGAAAACCACCTGGTTTTGTAATTATTTCTGGCTACGCTCATTGCCACTCATGCCAGGAGTGAAGTTCTAGCCGCGTCCACATGCGTCGAGTCCCAAATGTGAACAGGCCTCTGATGGTTTAATTGCCACATGTATTTTTCTCAGTAGGCCTTCACTGCAATTGTAAATACTGATTTCGTAAAAACATACCCGGTATGCTTACAAGCTGTGAATTATGACGACAGATTTACTTCAAATAATTTTCACGTGTTAGTTTTTATTGGTCAAATAATAGCTTTCTTCTAAAATACACATACAGAAAGGATACAATAAATAATTACAACATGTTAAGAAGAGATAATTAGGTAAAGAAATTATAGGGGAGCACCGCACCATCCCCTAAAAAGATTTCCCCTCCCCCAATGAATAGGCTAGGCCTATATGTCGAGGCAAAAAAGTCAAGTACTGTAGTTAAAAATCATCTCATAGCACCTTATTTTGGGACCTACCACCCCCTCACTTAATCATCGCCTCTCCCCTCCCAAAACACAAATCACTGTCAAGTCGTTATTAAAGAGCACTTAAAATCACCTTATTTTGCGAGTTTGCGCCCCCTCAACTGATTATCGACCCACTTCACCTTCGCGCCCCCATCAGCCTCCAGATACGCCACTGCGAAGAAAGTCACTTCAAATTAGATATTATGTCCGTCCTTGAATCAATGAACCCTAATAAACTAAATAAACTGAACATTTTATAGGAATATTTGAGGCCTATCTAGACCTTTTTCAAAAAAGGTTTTTTTTTTTTTTGTATTAATCTAACCCTTAATTGTATAAATAATTTCCAATAGTGTGTGATTCGCAACTATTTAGCCACCGGCCTTTTGCCACCCTAAGCCCTTTGCCACTAATGCCTTTTGCCATCCGGGCTTTTGCCACCCGGCCTTTTGCCACCCGGCCCGTTGCCACCCGGCCCGTTGCTACCATAGGTCCGTTGCTACCTAGGCCCGTTGCCACCCGGCCCGTTGCCACCATAGGTCCGTTGCCACCCGGCCTTTTGCCACCTTTGGGAAAGTCGAATATTTATATTATTTTGGTTGGTTTTTTTTACGCATATTTGTACTAGTAGGCCTACTGTAGCAGAATTTTTTTTGATTAAATTTACTTTCCAGTTTAATATTTAATTATTAATTTACTGTATTTTATTTTAAACAATAAAGAGAGAAATACTGCAGTGTCTAATTTATTTTTATATTTTATTTTTTTAAGTATATTCTTATTCCAAAATAGAAAGAAATAGCCTGTGCTTTTACAATTAAAATACAACACATTTATAATAATAATAGTTATTTATATAGTATAACCACAAGCATATATTATGTGTGTATCTTTATGGAATTTATTTGGTATATCTCTCTTTATGCGGACAATTCATTACAAGCATATATATTTTATCATGAGAAATAACCGTCAACTATATCACCCCCACCCCCCGCATTTTAAGACTTCTAGATACGCTACTATGTCAGAAAGACGATGGCCGACAAATTTCATCTTTAAAGGAAGAAGGAAACCGCCTTAAACAAAAACAAAAAAAAAAGACAAATCACTTCTGATAATTCAACAAATGTCAGCCCTTGCACTTACTTATAAAACACCATTGTTCCAATTAAATTTACACTATTCCTCTAATCTACGCCTCCCTGGGGATTGGAGGCGTCCATTTCGCCCAGTGGTGTAACAAAGAGGCCGCATAGTAAGCCTCTGTCTAAGACTTTTCAGGACAATTACCCTGGTTATGGGTCAGAGTGGAGCTACGGGGCACGGGCCAACTCCCGTTTCGGCGTTCAAGTCTGTATTTTGTGAGGATTTTTTTTACATGTTCTGCTCCTTAAAAGGCCCCGCTTAGCAGAATTGGAGCAATAAAATAAAAAATGTTGATAAGATATCTGGGACCCCTTACGCCCTGCTTCGCCACTCGTGGATTTGCAAGTGGACCTCCACAATTTATCATTTCTTTGATTCATTTTATTATACCTAATAAAATGTATACATACATAAAAGATATGGACAATAAATAATTATATGTAGATAAATAATGTACTAACTGCTTCCTTTAAATTGTTTTTTTTATATAAATTCTTAGTTACTTGAAAAATAAGTACCAATGGCATAATGAAGATCTTTAAAAGGGAAGGAAACCGTCTTCAAAAAAAAATCACTCCCTGTAATTCAACAAAAATGTTAGCACTTTACACTTATAAATCTTATATTATTCCACATCCAATCAGCTACGTACAACTATTCCTCTAATCTATACGCCGGTAAAAGATTGTTGCTGCCACCCCGGATGGTGCCAATGGACAGGATGTGTCCCCCCAGCTGCCCAGCACCTTAGTCACGAATTAGTGTTGCTTCTTTCATGTTTTTGGTACTCCATTTCGCTATATTGTGTTGTGTTTTTACCAAACCAGTTCTGTGTACTAAAGAACCTGCCTACAAAGGTGTTGGTTTAGACAACGAATTTCAAGCTGTAAGTTTCAATAATTGAATGAAAATAATTCGCTAGAATAATGTTATTGTCGGTGTGGACATTGATATATGATAAAATAAATACAATACATTATAATAATACACGATGTAAAGTACGATATTATCAATCACATTAGATTTTTAGTATATTTTTCGTTAGGTACTGCAATAAAAGTAATTTATAAGTATACAAAAATATTAGATACTGTATAAGCATAAAGGAATTATTCTTATTAATATAAGCATGGGTATGAATTCCTACAAACTAGACCAGAATTATTATTTTCCAGCAAGATTGACATTGTTGTAGATTTTAGAAGTTTGTTTGAG